TTAATACAGACAGGGTCTCACTATGTTGTCCAGTTTGGTCACGAACTTCTGGGCTCAAGCAATCCCTTGGCCTTGGCCTTTCAAAGTGATGAGATTACAGTGTGAGCAATCATGCTTGATGTCTTAGTTGACCTTTGTAGCCCAAATACCTTTTCACCTTTATCATATACAGCTGAAAATGAGAATCAGTAAGATCTTCCAACTCTATACATCCATAAATTTCTAGATGTCTTATTCCCTGTCATTATAGCTTGCAATTTGACCAATTATTTTGAGTTCATCTTTTTATTGTACTACCTCGTAGTCAATAGTAACTGTTACATGCTCTAGCGTACTCTTTGCCTGCTATTTTATAGAAAGCCATGAGTTTATTAGAGACATCAACTGCCTTCCAATTAATTGAATTAAGTGTTGCACCAAACGTTTCAGCACTGTATTATATAGCTTGCTGTCCTTCCAGTCTCTGGTGATAGTTACCTTGTTACCTATTGCCTGGACCTAAATCCAATGCCATATATTTTAGGATTTTTACTATGATAATATGCCACCATACTTCCAGTGTCAAATTCATTGTTAGTCAGAGTAGGTTAGGTTATGCTACATTAACAAACTGGTGACTTGCAACAATATTATTTAGTTGTTAAATAAGGTTTATTTTTCATGTTCAACACATGTGCACTGCAGGTCAGCAATGGCTCTGCTCCAAGTACTTCCCATCCTGACACCCAAAGTGATGGAGCAGCCTCTATCTAGAACATTGATGATCTTGTGGCAGTGGGAAAAGAGAGAACATGGCACATGTTGGCTCTTAAAGCTTCTGCTTGTGCATGGCACAAGTTACTTCTCACTTCCCCTTGGCTAATAAAGCAAGTCATCTTATCAACCTTGGCATTATGAGGAAAGTGATATCTCCTTCTAGGGAGAGGCTGCAGATATTTGTATACAGTTTAATGTACTACACAATCCTACTTCTGAAGCTCACATGGAGTTTTTCATCATCTCTTCTACCATGGCTGCTTCTTTAGTTTAGTGTAGTTTTGTTTTGTTTTGAGCCAGGATCTCACTCTGTTGCCCAGCATGGAGTGCAGTGGCATAACCCCAGGTCACCACAATCCTGACCCCCTGGGTTCAGGCAATTCCACCTCAGTCTCCCAGGTTGCTGGGACTATAGATGCAGACCACCACACCTAGTTTTTTTTATTTTTTGTGTAGATGAGGTCTCATTAGGTTGCCTAGGCTAGCCTGGAACTCCTAAGCTCAAGAAATCCTCCTGCCTCAGCATCCCAATGCACTGGGATTATAGGCCTAAGCCACTGTACCAAGCTAAAAGATAGGTGATATACTCTTTCCACTAACTTAACGTGCAAAATTTAAACTTTTAAAATTTGACATTTTGGTTAATAGTTAATTAAATTTGTATTTTGTAATCCTGCTTTGTTAACATTTCTAAAGGCATTAACTATATTACTGTAACCACTAGGAACAAGGTCAATGACAAAAATGTAAGTCACTGGATTTAACTTCCTTATCAATAATGACATTTCTGTATACCTATTTTCTTCTCCTTTTCCTTCATCATCATTTTTTGAGTCACAGTCTCACTCTGTTGCCAAGGCTGGAGTGCAATAGCATGCTCACAGCCACTGTAACCTTGACCTGCTGTGCTCAGGCAATCCTTCCACCTCAGCACTTCAAGTAGCTGGAACCACAGGCACATGCCACCATGCCCAGCTAGCTTTTTGACTTTATTGTAGAGATGAAGTCTTGCCAAGTTGTCCAGACTAGTCTCGAACCCCTGGGCTCAGGCAATCCTCTTGCCTCCACCTCTCAAAGGGCTGGGATTACAGGTGTGAGCCACCGCACCCAGCTTATTTATTTATTTTACTATCAACTGTTATCACTTGAGAAATAAAAGTAAAGGCCCAAGGTCCCCAACAGACTGAACTTTCTCCTGGCAAAGGGACTCCCAGAGTAACCTTGAAAACGGAGTTCTTGGCCATGATGGAATGGGAGGGGTAGGTAAACACATCTCCAGCCCTTTCAAAAGACTCCAGCACTGATAATCAACCAACTGCCCAACTTTCACTCTCCCTTTTGCGGTTTCAATGAAACAATCAATGAGTGTTCTTTCTTGATGAGAGACTAGTAATAACAGAGTGGCTCTGGCCAGTCTACAAATGTGTGCTAAGGGTTGAACTGTCCTCTGCTTCACATTTTGACATCAGAGGACTAAAAACTCCACTCTCGAATTCTGCTAATGTTGCCATTTTTTGGTACATGGGATTCATAATGAGGCAGGAAGTTTAACTGCACATATGCATGTTTCTCTTTTCATAAATATTCCTGTCTCCTCCTACAGTTTATTAAATGTGTATACTGGCCACCCTGCTCAACATAAATTCCTGTTCCCCCTGCCCTACCCTCCAAATGTCTTTTCATGTACCTGGCTGGAGGCTACACTTCCCAGCATATCAGAATGGCTACCCTGCAGATAACTCTTCATGAGAAACAAAAGCTCTCCTCTCCATATGTATGATCCTCATCATTCTTCAGTTGACACATTGAAAATGAAATACTGCAGGAACAGGAATCCCCCTTCTAATTTCTTTGCTGAAAGTCTATCTACATTAACTACTGTTAGGTTTCTCTGTTCACACCTAAGTGATGTTGGATGCCATGAAGTATAGTTGCTCTGTGGGTTTTTTACTTTGCCACAGAAAAGAATTTCAGAGCGAGTCCAAAGTAAAGTTTTAAGAGGAAAGACACATTCAAGAGAGAACACAGGTACCTTAAGAGAAAGGCCACAGGTTTGTTGTTAGCAGGAAAGCTTAAATATTGTCAAAAATTATGATTAGACAACCTATTTTCTAAGATAAAATATGTCGGTTACGTGGGTTATAAGTTATTGATAGCACATTTCAATTTTTATCATTTAATTCTTAAGCTTGCTTATATCACAAATAATTCTTGAGATAATGGGAAAAGTTGCTGTTTAATCACATTTTCTCTTAGAGTGCTGTGCCTCCAGTAACTACCTATTATCTTATTGCCTTTATGATTCCAAGGTTGGGTTTGGTGTGCCGGGTCCATGGGGTGATGTTCAGGAGAGCTATGTTCCCACGAGAAGGTGACACCATCCTGTTCCTCATTTATCTAACCTGCACCTGCCTATGGACGCTTGCCTTCCTATATTTGAGCTATGCTAGCTGTGCCTGCCTCATAAATAATTTCCATGTGTCTAGGGCAGAACAGTTACTTAATAAACACTTGTTGAATGAATGAAAAAAAATACCACTCTAAGTTTTATGACATACCTCTATTTCTTTTCCTGCCTGCTAGCCTTATCTTCTCTCACAAGCATTGCATGTTGGAATTCCTCAACTCTATGTCCTTCCTCTGTCTCTCCCTTTTCTCTATCTCAATCTTCTCTCCCTAAGCAATCTCATTTGATCATAAGGCTTCATTTTCCATCAGTAAACTGAATCCTAAATTTATACTTCTAGTCCAGGGCTTGGAATTACATAGGTACTTATACATCCTCCTCTATGGGTTCTTATTACCATAATCAGTGTCAACATCCACATAGCTGGTCAAAACAGAACCTCTGAAGTTATCTGACTCTTCCCTTTCCTCACTCCCTGATATTCAAGCAACCACACCCCGTTGGTGCCACCTTCCACATCTCTCTGGAATCTTTTTTTTTTTTCCATCATTTTCCCTACACTAGTTCAAGCTACCATTCTCTCTCACACGGATGATTGCAATGGCCCTTTATGGGTCTCAACTCACTCTTACCCCCTCTAACCCATTCTTTATAGACGAAGCAAAGCAAGGTAAAACTACAGCGTCTGTTTGCTGAACTTCCCAAAGCTCAGCATAAAATCCACAATGTGTAAGTGGTCATTGGCCCAGCAGATCTGATGCCTACCTTGCCCTGCCTCTTCAAAGTCCATCCATACCAGATATCCTTCAGCTCCTCAGAGGGTTTTCTAGTTTCATACCTTCCCATGGCTGCCTCTGATTTGCACCCCTGCATCCTCTGTCTTCACCTGGTCCCTTCCTCCTCCAGGCCTAAAGTTACTATTTTGGAGGTGCCTTCTCCCATGATTCCTGGTCCCAGTTACTTGCTTGATCATTTGACTGATGCTTTCGGCTACTCATGAGGACCTCATAAAGCCTGCCCTATGGGAGACTTTAAGGTTAAAAAAAAAATCGATAAATTAAAAAAGGACTCAGGTAGTGGAAAAGATTACGTGTGCGAACACGACAAATGAACATACATGTTAAGCATGCCATTCGGGGCGGGGGGCGATGGCTCACGTCTTTAATCCCAGCACACTGGGAGGCCGAGCAGAGAGGATCGCTTGAGGTCAAGAGTTCGAGACCTGACTGGACAACATCGCGAGACCTCGTCTCTATTTAATTTTTTTTAAAAAAAGGAAGACGTTTTTAAAAAAATGCAAATTGGGACAGTGGCGTGACGCAAAGGTCTTTGTGGCCATGTACTTTTGATCCAGGGTCAGGACCTGAGAGTCTAGAGATCACGTTGACAGTACTGTGACCATCTTTAAGTCACTGACTACATGTTAACTTCATCTTGCAAGAGGCAGCCGACGACAGGAAGCAGCTGCTGTCTTCCTCAACCGCAGCCGCTGACCTTAGCAGCCGGAGACCCGACCTGCCCTCCAGACGCCGGGCGCCCAGCGGCTGCAGGCGCAGCACCGCTCCCTCTGCGGCAGTCGGGACCGGCCGGCGCGCGCCCGGCACGCGCACCCCCACGTCTCCGCGCTCAGGGGCCCCCACCGCGGAGTGCGCGGCCCCACGCCTCCATAGGCGGCCTCCTTGGAAGGTGCCTGTCTGGCTCATCGAAGGGTCCTAGTTTGGACGCCAAAAATGACCGCTCAGAAATATACACAGCACAGGACCAAAGTCTGCTGTACTACGAAGAGAGGGGGTGACAGTCGGGCCAACTGAGGGCGGGAGAGTGAGGCGGTGGATCACAGCAGGCACTGTGGAGGACAGCCGCATCCGGGTCCTGCTGCCGCAGGCTGCCCTCCGGGCCAAGGGTCCTTCAGGTAGAAGGTCCTGGGTGACTTAGGACGTCCGCTGATTCTCAGTGAGGTGATAAGTTGTTGCCGGGTCCGGCCGGCGTGTTTGTCCTTCTCTTCCTTTGCACAGAGGACCTCCGCTGCAGCCATGCTCCGCCAGATCCTCCTTCAGGCCAAGAAGCACCCGAGCGTAAGTTGGCGACCCCTCTTCCGCTCGGTAACCCGCCCTTGTCCGTCCCATATCGCAGTACGTCCCCAGGGAGCGTCCTCTTTTCGCGGCCTCTTGCTGTCCCCGGGGCTGGACCCTGTCTCTCTGCGTGTCGCCCTCTTGAGATGTGACCTGTGCATTGCGTCGTGGGGGCTTGGCAGGCGGGCGGAAGGCGAGGGACTCCTTGCGAGGGAGGAGGGTAGACGTCGGGACCACCTATGTCCGCGCTCTCTGGAGGATTGGTGAGTCCCAGGGGAGAGGTGTGCGCCGTGTGGGGTAGAGACCCGCGGAGGTCAAGGTCAAGGTCCCCATCCGCGGCGCCGTCTTCTGAGGCTCTTGAACCCACCGCATTGCACCTCCAGGCCTTGTGGCAAATACGAGAGGCCCGTGATCTTTGGCTCCCCACGTCGTCAGGACGTCTTTGCAAATGGAGGATATTGGCAGTGCAGGACTTAATTGCAGCCGAGCTCTTCCTTGCATCTCACTTCTCCTCAGCACTTCAAAGTGCTTTGTACCTAAAACTCTGGGCCCTTAAGCACAGCTCTCTGAATATGCTGCGAGCAGTCCATTCGCAGAGATCGTGTCTAAAGCCCGTATTCGTAGCAGACATGTTTGTTGATTTGCGTATTCAGAATCCTTAGTTCACAGAGAGTTTCAGACATCATGGGAGGTACGCGTAAATAATTTGCAAGTAACTTTTTTCAAATCTCATGATAAAGGAAGCCAGAATATTTAATGGGATGAAGTATAAATATTATGTGAAAAAGATGTCATCTATTTTCTGGGATTTTAAAAGTTCGCGTGGAATGTGTTCCACCTTAAAAAAGCAGATACTTGAAACCAGAATCATCTTAACATCCTTTGCAAATTCCATGTCTTTCTTTAGAATACAGTTGTAAGCAACCTTACTTCAATGGAATGTCTGCCTTTATTTAAATTTTAAGACAAAATAGCAAAGTAACAGTTTGAGACTTGCAAACCAAGTGGGTAGAAACTACAGTAGCCCCTCTCTGGTCAGCATCTGGGTATTTGAAGGCGGCTCTTGACTACGAATTCTTTCTATCTTGGGTCTAGTTGATCCCCCTCTTTATATTTATTGGAGCTGGAGGTACTGGAGCTGCACTGTATCTCATGCGTCTGGCGATGTTCAATCCAGATGTTAGGTAAGTACTTACATGTGTTTGAAAGCTGTGAGGGCTTATCAGGCGGTTTAGGAGCCACAGTCCTCCTAGGGAGGTAACATCAAGTCTTAAAAAGAACCTGACTTTTACAGTCATCCAACAAGTTCAACTCTCCAATCTGTTGTCATTGACTTTTTCTGGCTTAGGAAATAAGCCAGTATCTCTGAGTCTGATTTTCTCATCTGTAAAGTCAAACTGCTCAGACCAAGTGTTTTGAGGACAGATATAATAATAATTGTTTTTATAAAATACTAAATCATGTTGTTGACACATGTAAATGCTTTTTGCCTGCATTTCCATAATAGATAATGTTTCTTTTTGCAGTTGGAAAACAATAGATAAAGAAAGGATTGATTCAGCACTATTGTATGCAGTTTTCTGAATATCACTTTATTGATGCAATAGAAAGCTTCTGTAAAAGCCAGGTATAAAGTCTCTTGTGTTAGGGATAGAGACAAGAACAACTGCCCCAAGATGCCCTGTGTTCTGCCTTTTATTCTAATTGAGTACATGGGATTGCTTATGATAAATCCTATCTCTGTTTCAACTTTGTCATGAAAATAACCCCATACTTCATCTAATAGAAAATGCGATTGATCTATTCAAAATATTGGCTTCTTAAGAAGTACAAAACACTGTTTGAAATAGTGTTTTATTACTATAACAGTCATAATGTTTTGCTTCTTTTAGTTGGGACAGAAAGAATAACCCAGAGCCCTGGAACAAACTGGGTCCCAATGATCAATACAAGGTAAACTACAAAATCATTTCAAAATTGTTGGAAAGTATATTGTAATAAATTTTGTCATGGATGGTTTTTCTTATGTACAGGTAAAATTCCATACTAATGAACTTCAGAGAGCTGCTGGACAGTTTTGTGAAATTAAGATGGCATTTTTTTTTTTTTAGGGCTCTTATTGATAGTCCAAGATTTAAGAAGGAAAAAGAGTATAGCTATCATTGCCATTTTCTTAGTTCTTGGATAGTCTAGTGCAGTGGTCCTCAAACTTCATTGTACATATAGCTTGCTAAAACACAAATTCTTCACCTTTATCCACAGGGATTTGGATTCATTTGGTTTGTTGTGGAGACTGAGAACATTTATTGCTTCCCCAAACATAATCTTCCTTGCTTGTAAAAAATTTTGCATTCAAAGACCTACATAATTTCAGAAACAAGGGCAGCTTTATTATGGTATGATTCACATGCCATACGATTTACCTATTTAAGTGTATAACTCACCCATGCACTTTGCACAACACCAAGCTGCTTCATCAAAAGAACTAGCAGTTTGCTTTAGCACTCTCAAGAAGAGTGCTCTGACCAGCATGTGTCCAGGACCCCTTAATAGGTACATGTTTTTGGTGGAGGTGGATATTATCATTACCAATGATAATAACTTTTAAGATTGCCCCTAGCCGGGCTCGGTGGCTCAGCCTATAATCCCGCACCTTTGGGAGGCTGAGGTGAGTGGATTGCCTGAGTCCGTGGGTTCGAGATGCACCTGGGCAGCAAGACCTTATCTCTACAATAAATCAAAAAATCAGCCGTGCATGGTAGCGCATGCCTGTAATTCCGGCTACTTGGAAGGCTGAGGCGGAAGGATCACCGGAGCCCAGCAGGTCAAGGCTGCGGTGACCGGGAGCGGCCACTGCACTCCAGTCTGGGCGACAGAGTGAGACTCCAACTCAAAAAAAAAAAAAAAAAAATTGCCCTTTTGCTGATTTCAGACTTTCTACTTAACCTGTTTATAATTTGCCTTTTTAATCTTAATTGGATCTCCCTACAAGATGCAGATAAAAATGGCTTGGCCAAGCTGAAACAGACATCTGATCTGTGTGTTACATCTTGCCTGAAAAAATGATTGACAGGCATCCTGATTTATTTTTCTGTCCTATGAGGTTTTTTTTTTTATTTTTGAAGTCAGGGTCTTGCTATGTTGGCCAGGAAAGGGCAGTGGCATGATCATAGCTAACTGCAGCCTCAAACTCCTGGGCTCAAGTGATCCTTCTGCCTCAGCCTCCTTAGTAGCTAGGACTGTGGGTACATGCTACCAGGCCTGGCTAATGTAAAAAACATTTTTTTGTAGAATTTGGATTTTACAAACTCTTGGCATTGAGTAATCCTTTTGCCTTTGCCTTCCAAAGCTGTCTTATGAATTTGTTTCTGTTAAGTTCATCCCAGAGGAAATGATTCCGCATCCAAGAACTTTTAAAAAGTAAACAAACACTCAAGAGCATATTGGAGACTGGGTGTGTGTAGGTAAAAAGGTGTAACAGATGATTCTGATAATGCAGTCAGTTACTAATGTCCTGGAATATGATAATACATGCCAGAAAAGCCACGTGAACTGGAGATGGGATGTTGCTGCAACAGAAACTTAAAGTGTGTGATATAGATGAGGCCGTGAATAGCTGTGACACTGATACTGGAGTCTGGAAAGATGAAGAGTCATAATGGCAGAAATAGAAAAGAGCCAAATCCAGAAACATGGGAACCTGGAGTAAATGAAGCCCACTTGCTCCTGCTTCTAGACCCAAACAGTGTGGTAGACTAGATTCCTTGCTCCAGCATTTGCTGCTCTCTCCTGGGAGAATTTTTCTCCCAGGTGAGAGCAGCAAGTGATGCCCACTGATGGCAGATTTGGCCATGTGACTTGCTCTGACCATTTGTGAGTAGGGGGAAACAGTGTCTGCCTCCATTGTGCTTTTCTGTCTCTCATGAGACCGACAGGTGAGGCACTCAAGTCAGTTTAGAGCTAGAATGAGTCACCTTACAAATGGCACTCAGTGTGAGTGAAAAACAGACCTTTATTATTTAAGCCACTCAGGTTTGAGAGTGTCTTAGTTCAGACCACTGTAATAAGAGACCATACATGGGGTAGCTTAAAGAACAAATTCATTGCTCACAGTTCTGGTTGCTGGAAGTTCAAGATCAAGGTGCCAACCAGTTCTCTTCCTAATGAGGGTCCTCCTCCAGGTTGTGTTCTCATCAGGTAGGAAGCAAGAGGAAGTGAGCTCTCTCAAGTCCCTTCTTTTGAGGGCTCTGCCTTCATGACCTAATTATATCTCAAAGGCTTTTTATCCAGATACCATCACATTGGGTTTTGGGGTTATGACAGGAATTTGGGGAGGACATAAAACTTCTCAGCCTATAGTAGAGGGTTATTTGTTGCCATATTATAATTTAGCAAATGCTAATGAATACAAACAACAAGAGATAGAACTGAAATAAGATTTGGTCATTAGCGACCCAGCCACACTTCTCAGCTGAATGAAATGTCCCCAGCTGGGATCAGGATAGAGCATGCCTGCCCAGCTTTTGTTTCAGAGACATTAAATTAAGAAAAAGAATGGGCACAGAAGTTGAAAAGCCATTTTTAAAATGACTTCTAGAGAGAGAAGCAAATAGATCAGATCAGAAGACTGCTTAGATGATTGTCATATATGCCATGCGCTGTTCACTGTGCGTGGGTGTAGGGCTTGATGCTTTTGTTCAGCATTTGGCAAGTCATGTAGCTCGTTTGTCATTTCCTGCTTTTATAAAGAATGAGAAGGGTTATAATTAAGATACACATTATGCATCTAGCCCAGTGCCTGGCGTGAGCCTAACAAACGTTTATTTTCCTCTTCTTAACATATACCTGCCTGCAGACCCGTCTGTGAATATTCTTCCTAGTATTTTGTTAATATGTGAGAGGATAGCTCAATTCGTTTCTTTATTTTTTTAAAGTCTCATTGTTTAGATTAATTGTAGAAATAAAGAAAAGCTTTTGAAGAAATAATGGATATAGATTTGTGAGGCTCATGCTTAAAAACCCTGAAGAAAGTGTTTATGTTTGGTTCTGCAGTTCTGGTTCTGTTGGAGATACGGAGTCTTCATGTGATTATAGCACAACCTCTTCTGTATTCTTTGGCACAAGAATCAGTAAACCTGAGATTTTGACTTTATTTGGGCTTATGTGCAAATCTTAATGTTTCCTCAGTAGAAACTCTGGACCAGTTTCAAATATGAGTAATTTTTTAAAAAGTCATTGGGAGTAGGTGGCAGTGTTTTGTTTTTGTTTTTTTTTTTGAGTTGGAGTCTCACTCTGTTGCCTAGACTGGAGTGCAGTGGCACGCTTCCGGCCACTGCAGCCTCGACCTGCTGGGCTCCGGTGATCCTTCCGCCTCAGCCTTCCAAGTAGCTGGAACTACAGGCGCATGCTACCACGCCTGGCTAATTTTTGATTTATTGTAGAGATGAGGTCAAACCAATTTGCCTGGGTGGGTCTTGAACCCGCGGGTTCAGGCAATCCACTCACCTTGGCCTCCCAAAATGCTGGAATTACAGGCTGAGCCACTGAGCCCAGCCTTTTTTTCTTTTTTTTAATACAATCACAATAAGATTTACTCCTAAATCAATTTTAATTGAATATAAAGAAATTCTTGGACATTTTAAACATACAAAAAGCAGTATTATTTAAAAACTATTACCAGAGGTGGTAAAGTATCACTTTGATATTGATACAGTTTGGGTTGGAAATTAAGGAACATTTAAGTGAGAGAAAGAAAATAGAAAAGCCATTGAGACAAGCAGGTTGTGTTGAAAAACTACATAAATCACAAGATAAATGTTACCCTAGGGTAGTAGCCACTGTGTATGCAAGATCTTTGTGTCTAAATTCTATGCCCTTCATCCACCAAGTAGGAATGGTAATTCTTGTTATTCCTGTTTTGTTGGAGATTCGTTCATGTACTTAGTGGAGTCAAAATAAAAACTTACAAAATTAAAAGTATATATCAGAAGGAATTCTTAATTATTTTCTTTGAAATAGAAGCTTTTTAAATTGATGTGAACTGAAACTACTAACAGTGCTGTTATGAGATAAATTGAAAATTTTTTCCTCACCAAAACCATCATTGAAGTTCTGTGAATAACTTTTACATTGTTGTATATTCTTTAAAAATTTTATGTCATAATTGTTATTATAGAAAACTGAATAGAAAGTCCAAAACTTTTGTGTTATCTCTCTGCATTTTATAGATTATTTAAAGCATCTTTTTTCTTTTCCAAGTTCTACTCAGTGAATGTGGATTACAGCAAACTGAAGAAAGAGGGTCCAGAGTTCTGAATGAAATGTTTCACTATAAAGCTGCTTAGAATGAAGGTCTTCCAGAAGCCATCCGCACAATTTTCCACTTAACCAGGAAATATTTCTCCTCTAAATGCATGAAATCACGATGATGTATTGTGTTGGGGATTCCACTGATTAATAAATACCTGAAACTTGATATGTGTCATTCTTCACTGCTGAAAGTATGCTCTGAACTTTATAACTAGGCTATAGGGGATAAACTATTAGAATTTCTTGAATTTCTGTGTATTTATATAATTTGAAAATATGGCACTTATTTTGTGTATAGGCTGTTGGTACCTTCACTAGAGCATATTTGACAACAGAAATGAAGGAATACCAAGATAGGTTGGGAGGAATACTCAAGCCTGTGTGACATTGGCAAAACAGAGCCTTCTGGATTTCTATTACTGGCTGGTGTTGACGTATGTACAGTTTCTTTTTTTCTGAGTCGGAGTCTCACTCTGTCACTCAGGCTGGACACGGCCACTGCAGCCTTGACCTGCTGTGCTCAGGTGATCCTTCCACCTCAGTCTTCCAAATAGCTGGAACTACAGGCACGTGCCACCACGCCTGGCTAATTTTTTGATTTATAGAGACGAAGTCTTGCCAAGTTGCCCAGGCTGATCTTGAACCCCTGGGCTCAGGCAATCCTCTCACGTCCACCTCCCAGAGTGCTGGGATGACAGGCATGAGCCACTGCACCTGGCCAGTGTGTGCAGTTTCTAAAATCTCTTAAATATTTTAAAGGTTATCAGTTGGTGTGGACCTAAGGATTGAAGTTGAAATCTAAGTCTGTCATGGCTAGCTATGGAGTTAGTGGTCAGGAGATGTTGAGAATTTCTGCTGTTGAGTCCTGACAGGTGTTTAAGGACCAGGGAGTATATTAGCAATTTCAAGGTGGAGAATATGTTGAAGGATTCTTTTTTTAAGTGGACTGTGAAATTGGAATTATGTTGGATATATAAGTATACACATGTTTACAAAGTAGCATATTTTATATGTCAGGAACTGAACTAAGCATTTGAATTAAATAGATCATCTCACACTTTTAGAAAATTTTAAATCCAGATTAATTAAATTACTTGAATTCATTCTGTGAAGTGGTGGTATTTGAATCCAGGCAGTCCTGAATTAGAATGAGTTGAGTGCTTTTCAGTTACTAGATGCTCCATACTTGTAACTTCTGTGTGTGATGCATACTTGGACTTTGAACTTCCAAGCAGTGTTTCTCAACCTTGCCACTTGTCTTTTTATTTTAGCATGTTTAACACCTGACCAAGCCTCTACCATTATAGACCAGAAGCACTCTTTCCCTCCCTTCCCCCAGGCTGTGGGGGAAAAAAAATGTCTAAACATTACCAGATGTCCTCTGGTGGGCAAAACTGTCCCATTGCTACCTCTGTTGAGAATTACTCTAGACACTTGTACAAATTACTAACCTTAAAGTTTGGAATTTTGTGAAGAAATAGTGTGTAAGGTAATCGAAAATAATTTTATTAAGCAATTCTAAATAAATGCTATATTAAGAAATTAGAGGCCAGGCATGGTGGCTCACATCTGTAATCACAGCATTTAAGAAGGCCTTGGTAGGAGGATTACTGGAGCCCAGAAAATTGAGACCAGCATGGGAAACACCTTATCTCTACAAAAAAAGTTAGCTAAATGTGGTGTGTGCCTGTAGTTCCAGCTACTTAGAAGGCTGAGGCAGAAGGATCACCTGAGTCCAGGAGGTCAAGGCCAGAGTGAGCCATGATTGTGCCACTGAACTCCAGCCAGAGTGACAGTGAGACCTCAAAATTGAAATAATAGCATTTTCTAGTACTGGGGATAATTGTATGAATTCTAAACCTTAGAATAGCATCCTTTTTGTGTTCAGTGTCTATTCTTAGACTTGGCAATGTAAGAATAAATGTTAAGTTTGCCGTAAAATATACATCTTAAAAAGAAACGACTTTCTTTTACTCTATTTAAGAAACTGCAATAGGGGACTAAGTACAACGGCTCATGCTTATAATCCTAGCACTTTGAGAGGCCAAAACAGGAGGGTTGATTGAGGCCAGGAGTTTGAGACCAGGCTGGGCAACATAGTGAGACCCCCTCTACAAAAAATAAGAAAAATTGCTAGGCACGAACCTGTAGTCACAGCTAATTGGGAGGGTGAGGTGGAGGATCGCTTGAGCCCAGGAAGTTGAGGCAGCTATGATCATACCAATACCACTGCACTCCTGCCTGAGTGACAGAGTGAGACCCTGTCTAAAAAAAAAAAAAAAAAAGGAAAAAACTACAATGGCAGTAGAATCAAATTGTCATTTAAATATGGATGTCCTTAGTTAGCATTTATGAGTATTTGAAAAGTTGCAGGTTTTGGAATTTATCAATGCTTCCAACTTACTACTTGTCTTGCTCTGTACTAATGTAAATAAATACCTGAGCTGGGTAATTCATAAGGAAAAAGGTTTATTTGGCTTACAATTCTGCTGACTGGAAGATTGGGTATCTGGGGAAAGCCTCAGGCAGCTTCCAGTCGTGGCAGAAGATGAATGGGAACTGGTGTGTGCAGAGAAAACATAGTGAGAGAGGGGAGGGAGGTGCCAGGCTCTTAGCAGCCAGATCTTGTGGGAGATAATGGAGTGAAAACTCCAGAGGACTACATTGAGCCATTCCTCAGGTCTCTGTCCCCATAGTAAACTTCAGAGAAGGAGTCTTACTCTGTTGCCCAGGTTGGAACACAAAGACTATTCATAGGCACGATCCTAGGACAATGCTGGCTTGAACTCCTAGTCTCAAACAATCCTCCAGCCTCACCCTCCTGAATAGCTGGGATTACAGGCCCATGCTACTGTGCCAGTGGGGACCAAATTTCAACATGAGGTTTGGGAAGGGGCAAACAACCAAACTATGGTAGTGCTAGAAAGGAAGGAAGGAAAGAAAGGAGGGAAGGAAGGAAGAGAAAAGAAAAAGGTAAGAAAGAAGGCAAGAAAGAAAAACAGTAAAAGAAAAGAAAAAGTTAAAACAAAATTCTACTGAATCGTACTTCTTTCAAATATGTTAACCCACTCTGATGAGTTTTACCCTTACCACTCCACTAAAATTGCTTCTGTTAAGGTCATCAGTGGCCTCAGTGTTGTTAATCCAAGTCAATAATCAGTACTCACGTTGACCTGACAGTGACAATTGACACAGCTTCTCTTTGAAACACTTTCCCCCCTTGTTCTCTGGAACACCATATTGTGTTCATTCCCCTTTGACATCGCTGGCTTTTCTGCGGGGTCTCTTGCCAGTGCCCCTTTCTTTGCCTGACCTTTTGTCATTGGGATGCCCCAAAGGGGAAACTGGACCTTTTCAATAAATGCTATCTTTTTGTCTGGTCTCATGTCTTTAGCATTCAATGAGATCTCGGGTGTAAGGGGCTCAGTATGTCTCCTGGCAGAATAAGCATTACTTAATGTTAGCTGTTATTTTTATAAACCTTGGAATCCTTTTTTCCCTTCCTTCAAAAACGTTAATGAAAAAATTCTAAAAGTCATATTACATAAAACTTACAGGAAAAAAAGAACTATTTGATAAATGCTCATCTGACTACCAACAATCGGAAAAGCTGGGCGTGGTGGTGTGTGCCTGTAGTCCCAGCTACTCAGGAGGCCGAGGCAGAAGGATCACTTGAGTCTAGGGACTTGAGGCTGCAGTGAGATATGATCACGTTCCTGCACCCTAGTCTGGGTGACAGAGCAAGATCCAATCTCTAAAAACAAAACAAAATGAAACAAATCTGATTAAGTAATCTTTTAATGCAGATATCATTGATTTCAACATATGGATAAGGTGATTGCCTTTGACATCAGAGGTGTAAGTCTAAGAAGTGATATGATTTACATTTCCCCCAGGTTTGCTAAAGCAACGCCTGCCTACATAGCATGCTATAATAATGCTCCTCCCTCTCTGATTTGTATGATGACTCGGTGAATTAAAGTCTTGCTATGTAGGCTGTCTCTCCTAGGTTGAAAATGATACTGAGTTAATCCATGCCTGATATTGAAAGAATCTTTTATGTTCTGTGAATGACAAATAGCATCTGGAAAAATCTGTCTCAGGTCTCTTCCCCTGCTGTTGTTTTTTAATCTTAAAAGGCAGCATCTTGTATGCTCTAACCTTTCTCTGTTTCTAGCCAGAAGAAGAAAGGAATTAACACTACACAAGGTTTTCAGACCTCCAGCATAAGTGAAGATACATTGCAAACTATTTGTTTTAAACGAGTCAAAGAGGCATTTATCCTCCTCTGTTACAAACAGTCCCTGACTTAATGATTTTGATTTTTTTACTTTACATTGTTGTGAAAGTGTTATGCATATCAATGTATGTGATCATTTTCAATACATGACATGAGATATTCAACATTTGATTATAAAATAGACTTTATGTTAAGTGATTGTGCCCAACTGAAGGCTAATGTAATTGTTCTGAGAACGTTGAAGGTAGGGGAGGCTAAGGTAGGTGATGTTTGGTAGGTTAGGTATATTAAGCATATTTTCACCTTAGTGGGTTTATCAGAAATGTAACCTCATTTTCAAGTGAGGAGCATATGTACTATATTTAAGCATCTTAAATGCAAAGCAGCTTTGTTAGAAGAAGCCAATTAAGGCCGGGCATGGTGGCTTATGCCTATAATTCCAACACTTTGGAAGGCTAAGGTGGGAGGATTGCCAGGAGTTTGAGGTTACAGTGAGCTATGATTGTGCCACCGCACTCCAGCCTGGGCAACAGAGTAAGACCCTGCTTCTATTTTATTTATTTGTTTAAAGAAAATATTAAATCTTTTATTATATGCTTTTAAGCATACAATAAACAGAAAAAATAGCATAATAAACATCTACATACACACCAGTTGGATTCATTAACATTTTGCCATCTATGCTTCACACACATACGTTTTGCTAAACCATTTTAAGAGACATTATAACACTTCATTCCTAAATGCTTCAGTGTGCAAATTAAGACACTCTTGTATAAACTACAACATCCTTCTCACAAATGACAAAAATAGCAATATTTATCTAACATTGTTCAAAATCTAGTCCACATTCAAATTTTCTCAACCCCCCGCCCCCATGTTATTTACAAATGGCTTTTCCAACCATCTTTGGGTCCCACCAAAGA